TATGGACCGGTCCTCATAAAATTTAGTAGAAAGGTTTCGGATCATAAGAGACTTTTTTATGTCAAATTTTATTGTTATACTGGTATTTTTAATCCAGTAATGAGCGTTAAACTAATTTTTTGAAGGGGCCCTTATATGAGGGGTAGGGTCAATTATGGACCAATCCTCACAAAGTTTGGTAGGGAGATTTTGGATCATATGAAACTTATTTATGTCGAATTTCATCGCTATACTCGTATTTTTGAAACAGATATGCCCATTAAAGCTGCTATTCGGGGGTCCATTTGTATGAGGGCTATCCGAAAACGTGGACCGATATTACCTATTTTCAATACCAAACAAACCTTTCCTATAGAAAATATTTGTGGAAAATTTCAATTCTCTATCTCGTTCCTTTCGGACTCTATCGTCCTTTCAATAGACAGATAGACAGATGGACGGACAGACATAGCTAGATCGTCTTAGAATATAATAAGGACCCAGAATATATATACTTTTGTGGCTCTATGACCAATATTTCGATGTGTTACAAACGGAATGACAAAATCAATATACCCCCCATCTTTTTTAATGGTGGGTATAAAAAATTATTTAAAAATTTAATTTTGTTGCAAATGAGCGATAATGGTCTTGTTCATAAAAACTAATCAAAAATTAGTATTATAATCCTTTGATAAATGTTTAGGAATTTTGCATAGAAAATAATTTTATACACATACATACATATGAGATCTCTGTAAACTTCAGATCAGAGAAAAACTTAATAAAAATTTCTCTTACAATTGTTTAGTTTTTAAATCAAAACTAAAAATATATTTTCTAATTACTGTATAAAAAGTTTAAAAAAATGTATGCAACCTTTTTTATCTTTAAATATTTCTATGTAATATGAAATAATAAAACATTCAAATGCATAAAATATTAAAGTGGACACAAGAGGTTAAAATATCAATGCTAGAATGTGTATGTAAGTAACATCTTAAAGTTCCATTGCCACTAAAGATTAAAAATACATACGAACAGCATATTTCTTCAGTGTTGAGTGTAGCTTTAAGCAAAATGTATGATTTTTAGTACTTCCTTTTCCTCACATTTATGGATTTTTTTTTTGTACATGACGCAATAAAAAATAAAAAGCAAATATTTTAGACAGCAATAAATCAAACTGGAGAAAGGATAAAATTTCCAAAGTTTCTATATAAATTTGAGTACCGAAGTAATCACTGGGCTTCAGAAAACTTATATCTATAAGCATCCAGAATACATACACTTTAGGCAGAAAATGTAAAAAATGCGAACGAAATTTTAACATTTAAAGTTGTCATACTCCACATAAATATTGATAACTATAAATTGGAAATATTGAATCTTGAAACCAGCCGTTACAAAACCTTTAAAAATTTCAGAAAATATAAATTTCAGAAAATATAAATTTTAAAAAAATGTGTATTTCCTCAATATATCTATTGCAGGACCCTATATCAATTTTAGGCTTTTCATATTAAAAGTTGATTTGTAATGGACATTTTGAAAGACCACAAAGTAATCTATCGATTTCCAATATGAATTATAATTATAAATATAAATTATACTTTAAATTATATCAATCTACTCTTAATAACTTTCTGAGCCTATGTCCGTCTGTCAGGCAGGCAGCCAATATGAACCATGTATTCGGGCAATGGACTTAGAAAGAGGTATGTCATAGATTTTTTCGAAGATAATTGTACATACATTTTGTTTAATCTCAATCCTCAATGTCATGTAAACAAAAATATAGCCGAAATATCGAAATGAAACGTATTTTTTGTACATATTTGCAAAGAAGCATTTCTATGCCTCTATTTGTTTTGTCTACTTGTATTTACTTCAGCTGCTTCTTTATTTTTTCTAGTTCTTCCTAGTTTCTCATTCAGTCATTCACTCACTCACTCTTCTTAGTGTGTATGTACATTAGAGGTGCGCAAAAAATATGAATTTTGTTTGGATGGGTATAATTTTGATCATTAGTGTCTCAAACTAACTGGTGTAAAATTGTAGCCAAATCGAATAACGGTAACCAGTGTCGGAAATCGATAGAAAAGTGTAAAATTGTGTAAATAATAGGACATGTTTTAATTTCTTCAAAAATTTTACCATTAAAAATATATATTCTTAACATTTCAACCAAATCTTGTCTTCTAGAAATGTACCATTCCAACTAGGTATAAAATATTAATATCGAGCGACAAATTTCAAAGTTATAGGAATTTTCTTTTCACAAATTTGAAGCGAAAACAACAAATTAATTCATATTTTACTGTTTTTTTTTTTTTTTTTGAGTAGATATTTTCTTTACATCACTTTTGCACTGTTTTGCAAAAAATGCATGTTAAACTTTTCAATTGATTTCCGGGCAACTCTAATGTACATACATTTATAAAATTTTTATTTTGAACATTTTTAAAGTAAACAGAAATAAATATACAAACTACAAACACACACTCATTCAGACAGACAGACAGACTGATAGATAGACAAATAAAACCGACTTTCATTCATATAATACAAAACACACCGTTTATATGTATTTTTCTATTCATTTCCCATTTAAAATTCCCGTAAATGTGTTTTTTTCCATCGTTCAACATTTTTTTTCGTTCATTCATTTTAGTGATTCCGTATGAAATGTCTGGAAAAAAGCCGCATTGCGGCATATTATGCGCTTATAGTCTTATGTTTTAAGAAAAAGGAACTTTTTGTAGCTCTTGTCGTTGTTGTTGGGAGTGTTATTACTGTTGTTGTTCATCTTGTCTGTTGTAACTAAGTCCTTACGTACATATGTACATATATATATGTATGTTTGTCTGTATATAGATAGTTGCTGTAAAGCCCGGGAATAAAAACTGCAGTTAAATAGTCATTCGAATGTAAATCTAGATGTAATTGGAAAGTATGTATAATGTGTAAGTGTATGAAATTCATATTTAAAGTACGTGAGAATTAAAGTTGATTTAGAGTAATAAATTTTATTGCAAATGCAAGAAGGAAAAAAATAAAACAGATAAAATAACATTCAAGCACATACAAACATTCAATTGAATTTATGATCTCTTTTCATCCATTTGTTTATGTATTTAAATTGTAGGCGGAATTTCTTTTACGAGTTTCGTACTTTATGATGATGTATTGGGTATAATACATATTTTATTTTGCTTACCATATGAATTTTATATTTGCATAGTCTTATATATTTATTTATATTTGCATAATCTTATACATAGTGTAAAGTTGTTATGACCGCGTAAAAAAAGATTTTATGGACTACTTTTACAAATATCTAAGAAGTATACATAGCTCATTTACTATAAGACTGACATAACTAAAATTTTGTCTTTTTGAAGTGAGTATTTAAATTAAGCGCTGTTTTATGTTTCTCATAGAGTTTTATCTATTTTCAGAAATATCTAATACTTTCAGTGTGAAAGTTTTGTTTTCATGAACAGATAATTTCAAATTATTCAATTCTAATAATCTTTGTCCACTTTTTTCATAACAATTGACATTTAGAACTATTTATTGATAATAATTTGTTTTAATAGCAGAGGTTACATGGGGAATGGGGCCTCTTATAGACCGATCCTCAAAATATTTGTTAGAGGGATATGGTTCCTATAAAACAGGTTTTTGTGGAATTCACCGTTAGACTGAAATATTTAAGCCAAAAGTGTTAAAATCATTTTCTGAAGGGGGTCTCATATTGGAGGATAGAACAAATTACGATTGTATCCTCATAAAAAGCTATAAAAGATGTTGTTCAATAACACTATGCGACAAAAATAAATACCTGGGAAGTGATACTATTTTTCTAAAAGGTGGATCCGAGTAGAACAATAATATGTTTTTGAAATTTGCCAAACACCTTCAAAATCTTGAGTTACGGATAAAAACCCGGTTTTTCGTACCTTTAAGCACTTATGAGTCAGTAACATAGTTGAATCTGAACCAATTTTAAATTTCCCCACGAATTTAGAAAGCTGAAGCTGAGAACTTTATAATGACATATATAACGTTTAAGTAACCTGAAGAGATATGTGTGAGTTTCACTAGCAAACATATGTTTTATTTTAGTTTTGCACCGTTGTCCATGTTTGGAGATGTTTTATGAAAGTATTTAATACAGGAACCGTACCATTTATTAACTGATTAGAAACCCATGTTAATTCATGAATAAAACGCAACTTTGTTTTTAAAAATCCGTTAGCAATTGATGACTTTATTGGTATTTTTCTTAATACAAAATTGTTTAAAAACTGATTTCTGAAAGATGCTTTATATGGGGGATAGGGTTAAATATGGGCCGATCCCCAAAAAAATTGGTGGAAGGATTTATGTTTATATAAAAGTTATTTATTCTGAATTTCATTTTCTGAAGCAGGGTTTGTATGGGGAATAAATAAGACCGTATTGTCTAAAGAATCAGCAGTATCAATAAAGATTACAGCGAACTCATTTATACCGATTTTTGTATTGATTGGACCTTTCGGAAAATCAGTTTTAGAAAAATTTTGTATTAAGAAAAAGATCAATAACGTCGTCAACTGCCAAACGATCGGTTCAGATTCAACTAAGTGACTGACTTATAAGTAATTAAAGGTACGAAAAACCTTTTTTTACCCGTAACTCAAGATTTTGGAGATGTTTGGCAAATTTCAAAAACATATTCTTGTTCTACTCGGATCCACCATTTAGAAAAATGGAATCATTTCCCAGGTATTTCAATTTTCGTTTATTTTGTCTCACTGTGTAATGAGCGGGGCTAAGGACAATTATAGAACGATCCTAATAAAATTTGAAAGAGAGATTTTGGTTCCCGAATTGGACCTTCTATGGAAAGAGGGTAGTGAATTTCCCTACAGTTAATAACATTAGTTTTTATCAAATTATTAATTAATATTTTATTTTACTTTAAAATTATACATATGTATTTCTAATCCAAATATTTTTTATTTTACTTGCAGATACTGACATATTTTTTTGAAGCAGTTTTCATCATACTCAACATTTCGAATGAGGAGAGCAGTAAGTTTAAAACTTTTAATTTAGATAAAAAATTATGTTTTAACATCAAATGTTTAATTAAATGTAAACATCCAGGAAAAACTTACATTGAAAAGTAATGAGTTAAAAAGCTAATAAAGCTCTTTTCACTACTTCTTCATTAGCATTTTAAGTCATTATTTTAACTCGGTGATGTCATTGGAGGCAAGTACTTCTACGCACGCTTACAAATAGGGAGTTAAATAAGTACTTGCAATTTGTCTTACAAAACAGTTGTTGAGTAAGTTGTTTTGTTTTTTAATAACAAAAAGAGCCAGCTAGAATACGAACCAGGGACTTTGGTTTTTTAGTCAAATGTTCTACACACTGCACCACTGCTAAGCTATTTTATTGCGCGTCAAATAATGGTTTTCACAAACAAAAGTAATTTTGTTTTATTTTTTGTAAAACACAATTATTAAAACGCAATTAAATAAAATGTGCAAACAAAATGACAAAGCCGAAAATAAAGTACTTCTGTATCAGATTATAAGAAAGTCGTTACTAGAGTACTTCTAAATAATGCAGACGGTAAGTAGTAGTCATTGAAAAGTAAGTGGTTATTAAAAAAATTACAAGGACAATTATATTAGTATATAATCTTTAAAACATTCTAACAATTATTTATAGATTTAATTTAATGTCGTTATAAGACTATAATTAAAAAAAATATCCTTATGATTTTCATTAATACAGTCGACATAAAAGATAGAAATCTATTTAAGTCAAACAAGACCTTTAAATAGGAAACGATTAAAGTATACATTTCACCAAATTAGTTCACTTCATTAACATACATGTGTACTTGTAGAATCTTTAGAGTGGTTTACAGTGAGGTAGTTCTTTAACGAATTTCAACTATTTGAATACATTTTGGAAATTTTCAATTAACTCGAAGATGTTTGAATCTATATATATTTGAATTCGTATAGTGGGAAAAGTATAACGTTAGGCGTTGTTCCACGTTAGTAATTACAATTTGTCTTAATTTTCCACCATGTATATGAATTTACCTAAATGGATCAATAATTTATACATAACAGATATTTCCCAAAGCTGGAATATAAAGGTCCACTACAGAAAGTAACCACAAATTAAATAATAATTGGTTTCAAGAATATATTCAACATTAATATATATATACCACTATCGTGAAATATCCCGTATAAATATAAAACTTGTTCTTCTTACTTAGATGTTATTGTATTAATCGTCATGCATAATTAAATAAGTGTATCAACATATAGTTGCCTGTCAAAACCTTAATTATTTAACTAAAATATTTTGATTTTACACAAAATATTCAAATTAAAGTACCACTACTATACCAACAAAACAATAAAACGAACACCAAATACAATTTACCTATAATTACATTTCAATTAGAGGCCGCACCACCCACCACTTACTTAACAATAGAATTCTCTTTATATTCCTATAGTAGTAAACAAATTAATGGAAGTATATATAAATATATGTGTATGTTTTAGGGATACTACACTCCTTCCACTATTAATTTTCTAAATAATAAATCAACTTCATGTTGTTTTCCTAATAATACCACACACAGGTATGTATGTACATATGTATGTATGTTCATATGTATGTGTAAATGTTCAAATAAAATACATAAATTTAATATAAAATACAAGCAAAAGGTTAAAATCATTTCCGTTACTAAGTGTTAACATAATTAATAAACAATTAGACATTAAGTGACATTAATAACAGATGAATATTACTTACACACACATATATACATATATAGTAACTATGAATATTTAACTTTTATACGACTTAAGCACCTGTCGCAGTAATCAATCATTTATAAACAAACGAAAAACTGAAAGGTTGAAAAAAAGTTAATATGTATTAAATTTGTAAAATAAAGAATTATTATGGAAGAATAGTAAAGAATTATTATGTATGTTTATTAGGGAGGCAATAAAAAATCATTCCGATTTTTAACATATTTGTACAAAATAAAAACATACTTACAGAGAATTTAAGCTAAAATAGTAAACGCTTATTTAGGGAAACAGAATTCTGTTTGCAGTATTTATAAAAGTGAGATATTAACTATTGCAAATTTCAATACTACCGTATTGGTTAGTGATCTTTCAATGTCAAGTTGCTAGTCTGACAATACCTATTTTAGGTCCCTGCGCATAGAGACTACCTTGCCAATGTGAAGGTTGATGAGTTAGTCCGAACGGATCACTAGGATCTATTTAAAGTAGTATCTTGGGATTCAGTATATAAAAAGCTAGAAATAGAATTGATAAAAGAGCACACCATACAACTGACAACCCTTAATAGACGGGACACATTGAGGTTGCTTGCAAAAATAACTTAACATTCTTTACTTTCCTATTAATTGTGTTGTTTTTAAATAAATCAGACATGGTGACATTAATCGCAATTTAATGTAGGTCAAAACAATTAGAACAGGCGACAAATTATTTTTATGATTCATGGCTGTTCAATATGCATGAAATGATCTCACTGTGAGCCTAACCTCTGTAGTATAACCCATTTATATAAACATATAATTAAAACAATTTAAAAAAATACCCACTGGGCATTGACACAAACAAAATGACCAATTTAATTTACAATTCTTCAGTATATGTTTGTTTGAATATCTTCATCACCCACTTAATGTTCTACAAAGGATATTAATACATACAAAGCCATTTTTTTAGATTTTTAACAAGGAAAAAACGTTTATATGTTTAAACTTAAGTTCACTAAACATTTATAGTAAAAAGATGTACACAAACATCATACATATGCATACTTATATACATTTCTACCTACACAAATACATACTTAGAGAGTAAAAAAAAGAAAAGCGAATAAAACAGCTCGAATGAAAAATGTAATGTATACTCATTACAACACATTTATCATTTTCTTATTCTTGAAAACATGAAAAACAACTAACTTAACAGAAAAAAAACAAGAAAACAATAGAAACAACAATAAGAGCAACAGCAACTACAACAAGAAGAATATAAAATAAAACGTTGCCAAGAAGACAGACAAACGAATGAACGAACGGACAGACAGACATTAACGTAAACCCAGGCACTTGCTATCAATCAAAGTTCTATTATAAGGGTGTTAAAGCATGAGCAACCACAACAACCGCAACAAAATAAAAAATCACACACACACACACACACATAACAACCAACAAACAAACTGACAAAAACGTTAAATTACATTACACTTAAGTTTTTATTTAAAAAAATATATAACCCAGTTAGTAAGTTAAGAGGTTAAAGGTTTAAGTTCAGTAATTTTCATATTTAGGTATCTTAATTCTTTTAGTAGGACCGCGGATTTCAGTGGTAGTGATAAAAGATTTAGGAAGTGCTTCTCAAGTGCTTTTGTTTGTTATTTATCAGTACTACTTTCCTTCTAAGTAATGCAGGCGGTATGTAGTAGTCGTTGAAAAGGAAGTTCTTGAGAAAATTGAAGTCATTAGCATGTTTTGGCTGGGGATGCATCCAGAACAACATCACAAGAGACGGTCAATATTATACATACCTCTCTTAAGAAGTCTCCTTTCAAAAAGTAGCCAAATATTGTCGCTAACAAATCACTTAAATAAATAATCTACTTATATATATAAAAGAGTAGCGTTACTGACTGACTGATTCATCATCGCACAGCCCAAACGGCTGAACCTAGAATTATGAAATTTTGACAGTAGATGTGTTTTTGGTTATGTAGATCCACTAAGGAGGGATTTTTGGAAATATGTACATTTAGGGGTAAAAAGGGAAAAAACGGGTAAAACAGGTTTTCTTAATTATCTTACCTAATATTAGTGATAAAAGAATATTTTTAAATGTACATGTATCTACTCTTAAAATAAGCAGATGGGTGTCTGGTACTTTTTTGAAATTCGTGCTTTTAAGGGGTGAAAATGTGTAACAAAGTTGATTTTGGTACCTTTTTTGGCCCTTTACAACTTTGCAACTAATAAACAAAATAACATTTTTGTAAATATTTCGAATATATCTTCCAAAATTAGGGGACACCTGTTACGTACTTTTTAAAAATTCAGCCCCTTTTGGGTGTAAAAGGGAGAAAACTGTATTTTTGGTACCTTTTTAGCACATTAAGAAAACTTTTTCGATTTATTGAAATATTCCTATTAAATTACGAACTAACTGTAATATTTATTGAAACAAAATGTTTGCTATTTCACTGGGGAAAAAAGTACCAAAAATGAAAAAAACGGGAAATTTAATTTTATTCAAACTCATTGAGCCAATTTTTATAAAATTTGAAAAATAGTTTATTTACTCACATAAAATAAGCTATTGGTATATTATTTTGGAATTCGAGTACTAAGGCCTATATAGGACCAAATTCGAGAAAATTATTTGGTACCTTTTTGAAAGCACAATTTTTCTGGAACAAAAGAATGCAGATTTGAATCGCTTGAGTTTTATCTGTGATATATAGATTTAAATACGGAACATTTTGTAAACTTAATTCTCAAAAAAGTATATTTCTAAGCGAAAAGGGGAAACATTGTACTCTTTTTATTAGTACTTTCCACTTAGGTAAAATTTATTCCACTTTTGGTACTTTTTCTTCCTTTAAATGATACTCTGTATGGTTTGTAATATGAATTCAAAACACATGATTATTAAACATACACGGTCCTCATTGAATAAGATTCTTTAAGAGAGAACTTTTTAGTACTTTTTATCTCATAAATGGTACTTTCTGAATTTTCTAAAATATTCAACCGAGAACATAAATTTTAACATACATGGTATTGACTGAATAATATTCTGTAAGTGGATACTCTTTGGTACTTTTCTATTCTTCAAATGGTACCTTTTGGTTTCTCTATAATGGTTAACCGGAACACATCCTTATTAAATGAGAATTTATTGAGAGGAACTTTTGTACTTTTTGTTTTTCCGATGGTACTTTTTGATATTTTTACGATATTG